AGAAAGAGAACCTATACCATCTCGGACAAGTGACTGTCTAGCCTCTTCTTAAAAATCTCCAGTGATGGAATGCCCATGATCTTAAATTGCTGGAGGAGCTCGAAAGCTTTGCAGCTGTAGGAAAGCTTCACGAAGGACAACCTGTGTCCTTAAGGCTTGATGGCACATGAAAACGGCCCCACCCCTCTCTCTCCTCTTCATCTGTCTCATTCCTGGTTGTCGGAAACACAGGTGTTAACCCAAGGCTCCCGTCAATCTTGCCCAGATGACTGCAACCCAGCAGATAATGTCTCAGGCTGTTAGAAGCGTTAAGGGCTGCTGCAATGTACATAAACAAAGTCTACCAGTATTAGGAATAGAATAGAATAGAAAATAGAATAGAATAGAATAGAAAATAGAATAAAATAGAACAATAGAATAGAATAGAATAGAATAGAATAGAATAGAATAGGAACAGAATTACAGAATAGAATGGAATGGAATGGAACGCAGAATAGAATGGGATGGGATGGAATAGAATAGAATAGAATAGAATAGAATAGAATAGAATAGAATAGAATAGAATAGAATAGAATACAATAGGAACAGAATTACAGAATAGAATGGAATGGAATAGAACGCAGAATAGAATGGGATGGGATGGGATGGGATGGGATGGAATAGAATAGAATAGAATAGAATAGAATAGAATAGAATAGAATAGAATAGAATAGAATAGAATAGAATAGAATAGAATAGAAAGTCCAGCCCCCTGCTCAAGCAGGAGAGGATGAAGGATAAGCCTTAGAAGAAGCAGTTGCTTGGCTGGCAGGTGCTCATGCACAACCAGATCTAAAGGATGAAGGTTGCCCAGGATTTTCATGAGAAAAATCACATTTAAATTAAATGAAATCAGAGGTTGGATGAGTATCAGGAAAAAACGTCCTCATGATCAAAGCTGGATTGTGAGGGGAAAAAAAAATGTCCTCATGATCCAGATTAACCCTGGAGGCAACCATCTCTCCTTCCCTGGAATTGTGTTTCCTCAAACTTAGCAACTTTAAGATGAGCTGTGGACTTCAATTCCCAGAATTAACCAGCCAGAATTGATGGACTTCAATCCCCAGAATTCCCTCCACGGCCAGGGAATTCTGGGAATTGTTGAGTTGAGAATTGTTGTTCTAAACGACCGTTTCACCCCTGACAGCGGTTAACTTGTAAAGTGGGCACCCTGTTCTCTTGGCAGCCATCTTTGTTTGCTTGTTTGGCCACCAGTGTTTGGCAGCCATCTTTGTTTGCTTGTTTGGCCGCCAGTGTTTGGCAGCCATCTTTGCTTGTTTGTCTGCCAGTGTTCAGCAGCCATCTTTGTTTGCTTGTTTGTCCGCCAGTGTTCGGCAGCCATCTTTGTTTGCTTGTTTGGCCGCCAGTGTTTGGCAGCCATCTTTGTTTGCTTGTTTTGTGAGTGTGCCCACAATAGGCTATCTGATTTTCAGATGGGCTCAGGGGCCTCTAAAGATTGGGACTTTTCTGGCACAAGATGAACTAAAAAGGCATGTCCTTGCTTGCCATCTGTCTTTGGAGCCTCTAATGCGGCTGGAAACCTGAGCAGGTTCACATGACCTTTTTTTTGGTGGGATCTCATACAAGAGTCTGTGCAAAAAGGGGAACAACCCTGCCACCCAGTGGTGGTTCCATTACATAGCATCAGCCTTGGGATATTGTACATATAAAGGAAAATACTAGAATAGAATAGAATAGAATAGAATAGAATAGAATAGAATAGAATAGAATAGAATAGAATAGAATAGAATAGAATAGAATAGAAAATAGGAGAAAGAATATGATAGAATAGAAAATAGGATAGGATAGGATAGGATAGGATAGGATAGGATAGGATAGGATAGGATAGGATAGGATAGGATAGGATAGGATAGAGCTAGAAGGGACCTTGGAGGTCTTCTACTCCAGCCCCCTGCTACCATTTTGGACAAATGGCTGTCCAGTCTCTTCTTAAAAACTTCCAGTGTTGGAGTGTTCACCGCTTCTGGAGGCAGGTTGTTCCACTGGTTAATTGTTCTGACTGTCAGGAAGTTTCTCCTTAGTTCTAGGTTGCTTCTCTCCTTGATTAGTTTCCATCTGTTGCTTCTTGTCCGGCCTTCAGGCGTTTTGGAGAATAGCTTGACTCCCTCTTCTTTATGGCAGCCCCTGAGATACTGGAACTCTGCTATCATGCCCCCCCTCGTCCTTCTCTTCATTAAACTAGACATACCCAATTCCAGCCACCGTTCCTTATATGCTTTAGCCTCCAGTCCCCTGATCATCTTTGTTGCTCTTCTCTGCACTCTTTCTAGAGTCTCAACATCTTTTTTACATCGTGGTGACCAAAACTGGATGCTGGATTCCAAGTGTGGCCTTACCAAGGTCTTGTAAAGTGGTATTAACACTTCACGTGATCTGGATTCTTTTTTATATATATATAAAGATTTTACTGGATTTTTTTCATAAACATCTGTTAATTTTTCCAATCAACGAGTTGTCTGGGATTAGCTATGCTAATACTGATTCGATTCCTAATCCTTCATTCTTTCCTCTAACCAACAATAAAATAAATCCCAAATTTGGTAATAGTCTGTGTCTTCTTTATCTTTCAGTCTCATAGTTAATCTGTCCATCTCTGCACATTCCAGTATTTTCCTGATTATTTCTTCTTCTGATGGCAATCCTTCATTCTTCCAGTATTGTGCGAAAATTATTCTCGCTGCTGTGGTAATGTGTAAGATTAAATATAGACTCTGCTTATTAATCTTTTCAGGCGTTGTACATATAAAAAAGTTGTACATATAGTAAAAAAAGTTCCGGTTTAAAATCAACATGTTCACCCAATATTTTTTCTGACCACGTATGTATCTTTCTCCAATAAGCCTTAGCCTTGCCACATGTCCACCAAATGTGGTAGTACGTGCCTATGTTATATTTACATTTCCAGCATCTATGTGACATATTTTTAAACATTTTTGCTAATCTTGCTGGTGGCAGGTGCCATCTATAAAACATTTTGTACAAGTTTTCTTTATATGAAGTTGACATTGTTAGTTTGTAGTTTCTCTCCCATAACATTTGCCATTTTTCTAGTTCTATATTATAGCCAAAAACTTTTTGCCCATCTTATCATTGTTTCTTTCACTTGTTCGCTTTCCATTTCCAAAATTAACAAAAAATTATATATTTTCTTAATTAATTTCTCATCTGAGGTTAACAAAATCTTTTCAAACACAGTTTGATCCTTATAAAATCCATACATTTTTACATCTTTTTCATATCTACTTTGTATCTGTAAATGTGCCCACCATGACAAGTTGATTCCCTGGTTTTCCAGTTCTTGTTTAGATTTTAAATTCCCATCAATATTTAGAATATCTCTATATGTCCATATTTTTTTCAAAATATCTACCAAGTTCGGATGTACAAATGCTTCCATGGTTGATAACCACCCTGGAATTTGTAGATATATTTTAGCTTTAATTTATTTTCCCATACTGTTAACCAGGCATTTCTTATAAAGTGATTTTGAAAATACTTATGGGCTCTGTTTTTCCCATACCATAAGAAAGCGTGCCATGTGATCTGGATTCTATCCCTCGGTTAATGCAGCCTAAGGCAGTGATGGCGAACCTTTTAGGGACCGAGTGTCCAAACTGCAACCCAAAACCCACTTATGCATTGTCGGGTGCCGGGTGGGCGTGGCCCATTGGGTGGGCGTGGCTGTGGTCATAACGGCAGACTGGGTGGGACTAAAAAGTTCAATCAATCAATTCCAACTTTGCAAGATCTTTCTTTTTCCCGCGAGAAGTTGAAATTGACTGATTGAACCTTTTTTTTTTTTTTTTTTGCACACGGCGGTGGAGGCCTAAAGCGAAAAGGTTTTATAAAAACCAGCTAAAGGCCTAGGACTGGGGCGACGGCATGCGTGCCCACAGAGAGGGCTCTGAGTGCCGCCTCTGGCACCCGTGCCATAGGTTCCCCACCACTGGTATATGCTAAAAATTATTGATAACTGTAATGAATATCTTTTTATCTAGTTAATAATAATAATAATAATAATAATAATAATAATAATAATAATAATAATAATAGTTGGAAGGGACTTGAAGGTCATCTAGTCCAACCCCCTGCTCAGGCAGGAAACCCTACACCATTTCGGACAAATGGCTGTCCAGTCTCTTCTTAAAAACTTCCAGTGTTGGAGCATTTACCACTTCTGGAGGCAGGTAGTTCCACTGGTTAATTGTTCTAACTGTCAGGAAGTTTCTCCTTAGCAGATATTAATGGAAAAAAAGAGGAAATATTTGATTTTGTAACATGAGATTTATCCTTAAGACTTATGTCTGGAGGAAGGTTGTTCCACTGGTTAACAGTTAGAACAATTAACCAGTGGAACAACTTGCCTCCAGAAGTTTTTAAGAAGAGACTGGACAGCCATTTGTCTGAAATGGTATAGGGTTTCCTGCCTGAGCAGGGGGTTGGACTAGATGACCTTCAAGTCAATGGTTCGCCACCATTGGCCTAAGGGCTTATATTAGACAGGTGAAATACGAACGTTTCCGAATTCTGTCACAAACCAAACGAGCATCATGGGATGAGAAGCGCAGAGCCACAAGCGGTTCCCCTTCACGCGCCTGTCATCAGATGATGTGGCTGTAAAAGTCAGGCTGGAATGGGAAGGAGTCACCTGTATTAAGCAACCCTTGTAAACAACGGTCTGTTCTGCCAGCAGCCTTGACCGTTAAGCCCAGCATTGGTCCCTTCATCCAGATGACTCCTTTGAATAGAATAGAGCTGGAAGGGACCTGGGAGGTCTTCTAGTCCAGCCCTCTGCTTGAGCAGGAGACCCTGTGCCATTTCAGACAAGTGACTGTCTAGTCTTCTGTCAGCCTAGAACTCAAGGCCACTTGAACTCCTGCAGGACATACTGATGATGCAGCCCATCATCCACCTCTTTGCTTTTTCCCTGCTTGCTCCAGACTGGTGGAAGAATTTATGCTGCTGGCAAACATGGCGGTGGCCCATCGGATTTACCGTGCCTTTCCCGCCAAAGCCCTCCTGCGCCGGCATCCCCCGCCCCAGACCAAGATGCTCCACGACCTCATGGCCTTTTGCAACCAGATGGGCCTGGAGATCGAGTGCACCAGTGCCGGGGCCTTACACGTGAGTAAAGGCAGGAGCCGGAGGGAAGAAAAGCTTATTTTCAAAGGGGGGGAGCCAAATGGGCAGGTTTGGGCTTGGAAGAGGAGGAGGAGGAGGAGGAGAAGGAGGGGGAGGAGGAGGAGGAGGAGGAGGAAGAAGAAGAAGAAGAAGAAGAAGAAGAAGAAGAAGAAGAAGAAGAAGAAGAAGAAGAAGAAGAAGAAGAAAGAAAGAAAGAAAGAAAGAAAGAAAGAAAGAAAGAAAGAAAGAAAGAAAGAAAGAAAGAAAGGGAAAGGACTGTGGGGTCCTTGGTGTTCTCTGAGCTTGGTGGTTTTCTTGCAGACGTTTCATTGCCCAACTAGGTAATACCATAAGGGGGAGAGGAGGAGGAGAAGGCTCTCTGAGCTTAGTTGTTTTCTTACAGATGTTTCATTACCCATCCTTAGGGCTAAGTCAGAAGTAGGCAACCTTGGCTCGTGGACTTCAACTCCCAGAATTCCTGAGCCAGCATGGGGGAACTATGGCCTCTTCATGACTTGAGGACTTCAACTCCCAGAATTCCTGAGCCAGCATGGGGGAACTATGGCCCCTTCATGACTTCTGGACTTCAACTCCCAGAATCCCTGAGCCAGCATGGGGGAACTATGGCCCCTTCATGACTGGTGGACTTCAACTCCCAGAATTCCTCAGCCAGCATGGGGGAACTATGGCCCCTTCATGGCTCGTGGACTTCAACTCCCAGAATTCCTCAGCCAGCATGGGGAAACTACGGCCCCTTCATGACTCATGGACTTCAACTCTCAGAATTCCTGAGCCAGCATGGGGGAACTATGGCTCCTTCATGACTTGAGGACTTCAACTCCCAGAATTCCTGAGCCAGCATGGGGGAACTATGGCCCCTTCATGACTCATGGACTTCCAGAATTCCTCAGCCAGCATGGGGGAACTACGGCCCCTTCATGACTCGTGGACTTCAACTTCCAGAATTCCTGAGCCAGCATGGGGAAACTACGGCCCCTTCATGACTCATGGACTTCAACTCTCAGAATTCCTGACCCACCATGGGGGAACTATGGCCCCTTCATGACTCGTGGACTTCAACTCCCAGAATTCCTGAGCCAGCATGGCTCAGCTTGGAAACCTCTCCCTTTCCCCTCAGCATGGCTGGCTCAGGAATTCTGGGAGTTGAAATCCACGAGTCATGAAGGGGCCATAGTTCCCCCATGCTGGCTCAGGAATTCTGGGAGTTGAAGTCCACGAGTCATAAAGAGCCAAGGTTGCCTACCCCTGGGCTAAGTCCTAGCCTAAGGCAGGACTAGAACTCGCCCCTTCCTGGTGATTGGCCCAAAGTCACTCAGCCGACTTTCATGGCTAAGGTAGAACTAGAACTCACTGCCTGCTAGTGATTAGTCCAAAGTCACTCTGCCAGCTTTCATGGCTAAGATGGGCCTAGAACTCACCATCTCCTGGTTTCTAGACCAGCGCCTTCACCACTAGACCAAACAGAAATACACACACATGCGTTGGGATGATGCCTGGCTACAGCATGGAAAACGGCATGTGGGGCAGTGCGCAATCAGAAGCAATATTGGCTTCCCTCCTAGCTCCAGTGTGTGTTTCTCTCTCTTCCAGAAAAGCCTGAATGAAACCTTTGGGAACGACCAATATAGCGAAGCGAGGAAGGAGGTGCTGACCAACATGTTCTCTCGTCCCATGCAGGTAGGAAGGAAGGTCATTTTACTCATCAAATGTATTTTATTTTATTCATCAGATTTATTTTATTTAAATTTATTTCATTTTATTTAAAATTATTTTATTTAAATTTATTTTATTTAAATTTACTTTTTATTTCTTAAATTTAAATTTATTTTATGTATCAGATTTATTTTCTTTAAATTTATTTTATTATTTTATTTAAATTTATTTTTTATTTCTTAAATTTAAATTTATTTTATTGATCAAATTTATTAAATTAAATTTAAATTTATTTTATTTAAATTTATTTTATTTTATTGATTCAGTTTTTTAAAAAAATATTCCATTCAAATTTATTTTGTTAGTTAAATTAAATTTTATTTTATTAATTCAATTCAAATTTATTCATTCAATTCAAATTTATTTTATTAATTCGATTTTATTTTATTTATTCAGTTCAAATTTATTTTATCTATTCAATTTTATTTTATTAATTCGATTTTATTTTATTTATTCAGTTCAAATTTATTTTATTGATTCAATTCAAATGTATTTTATTCAGTTCAAAGATATTTTATTTTATTAATTACATTTCATTTTGCTTATTCCCTTCAAATTTATTTGATTGATTCCATTCAAATTTATTTTATTTTATTAATTAAATTAAATTTCATTTTGCTTATTCCATTCAAATTTATTTTATTTTCTCAGTTCAAATTTATTCTATTTTATTAATTAAATTAAATTAAATTTTATTTATTCAATTCAAATTTTATTTTATTTATTGATTGATTCAATTCAAATTTATTTTATGGATTGAATTCAAATTTATTCATTCAATTCAAATTTATTTTATTAATTCGATTTTATTTTATTTATTCAGTTCAAATTTATTTTCTTGATTCAATTTTATTTTATTAATTCAATTTTATTTTATTTATTCAGTTCAAATTTATTTTATTGGTTCAATTCAAATGTATTTTATTCAGTTCAAAGATATTTTATTTTATTAATTATATTTCATTTTGCTTATTCCCTTCAAATTTATTTGATTGATTCCATTCAAATTTATTTTATTTTATTAATTAAATTAAATTTCATTTTGCTTATTCCATTCAAATTTATTTTATTTGCTCAGTTCAAATTTATTCTATTTTATTAATTAAATTAAATTAAATTTTATTTATTCAATTCAAATTTCATTTTATTTATTGATTGATTCAATTCAAATTTATTTTATCGATTCAACTCAAATTTATTTTATCGATTCAATTTAAAATTATCTTGTTTTATTTAATACACTGGCCACCCATCTCGCCCCAAGGCTTAACTGGGGGCCTTGGCTTATGGGAGGTGTCTGGTTTATATTAAACCATAAAGCAGGGGGGTATCCAGCCTCATCAAATTTAAGACTTGTGGACTTCAACTCCCAGAATTCCTCAGCCGGAAGACCACAGGCCTTAAAGTTGCCAAAGTTGGACACCCCCGTTATAAAAGGCCTTTGCTGGACTAGCATCCAGACCTCCTGGATGTTCCCTGGGATGGAGAGAGGCCTCCGAGTGCCTCTTTCCTGTTTCATCCTGCTCTTCCTAAAACTTTGCAGCTTCTTTCCCCGTCAGCCATCTTCCTTCCCAGCCTGGCTGTCGGTAGCTTCTGACCTGTCCTCTCTCTTTGCAGATGGCGGTCTATTTCTGCACTGGCATGCTGAAGAACGAGACTCTCTTCCGGCACTACGCCCTCAACGTGCCTCTCTACACCCACTTTACGTCGCCCATCCGCCGGTTCCCGGACATTGTGGTGCACCGGTTGCTCTCGGCTTCCCTGGGTGAGTTTTTCAGCATAAACGGTGGACTGCCTGCCTGATTGCCTCTAAGAAAGGCTAGGGCACGGGTAGCCGGCCTTGGCCACTAAGATCGGTGGACTTCAACTCCCAGGCTGGCTGGGGAATTCTGGGAGTTGAAGTCCACAAGTCTTAAAGGTGCCAAGGTGGGATACTGGTAGAGTAGAGCGTCCTTCCTCAATGCAATGCCCTTCAGATGGTCCCAGACTACAGTACCCATCACTCTTAACCCGCCTTTGGGGAAGTCTGTGGTCGAGGGGAATTTGAGCCGGTACCGGATCTTCTCTTCTGCCAGGTAAGAGCATAAAGATCCTGATGGTGTCACTGGATAGGTTGCCAGATTCCAACCATATTCATTCATTCATTCATTCATTCATTCATTCATCCCATCTTTATTATTTTTACAAATAATTCCAGGAGGCGAACATATCCAACACTTCCTCCTTCTCTTTTTCCCACAACAGCCCTGTGAGGTAGGTTGGGCTGAGAGAGAGAAAGAGAGAGAGAGAGAGAGAGAGAGAGAGAGAGAGACTGACTTACTCAAAGTCACTGAGCCAGCTTTCATGCCTAAGGCAGGACTAGAACTCACTGTGATTGGCCCAAAGTCACCCAGCTGGCTTTCATGCCTAAGGCGGAACTAGAATTCACTGTCTCCTGGTGATTGGCCCAAAGTCACTCAGCCGATTCTCATGCCTAAAGTGGGACTAGAACTCACTGTCTTCTGGTGATTGGCCCAAAGTCACTCAGCTGGCTTTCAGGCCTAAGGCGGGACTAGAACTCACCGTCTCCTGGTGATTAGCCCAAAGTCACCCAGCCGGCTCTCGTGCCTAAGGTGGGACTAGAACTCACTGTCTCCTGGTGATTAGCCCAAAGTCACCCAGCCGGCTCTCGTGCCTAAGGTGGGACTAGAACTCACCGTCTCCTGGTGATTAGCCCAAAGTCACCCAGCCGGCTCTCGTGCCTAAGGTGGGACTAGAACTCACCGTCTCCTGGTGATTAGCCCAAAGTCACCCAGCCCGCTCTCGTGCCTAAGGTGGGACTAGAACTCACTGTCTCCTGGTGATTGGCCCAAAGTCACTTAGCTGGCTTTCAGGCCTAAGGCGGGACTAGAACTCCCGGTCTCCTGGTGATTGGCCCAAAGTCACCCAGCCGGCTCTCGTGCCTAAGGTGGGACTAGAACTCACCGTCTCTTGGTGATTGGCCCAAAGTCACCCAGCCGGCTTTCATGCCTAAGGCGGGACTAGAACTCACCGTCTCCTGGTGATTGGCCCAAAGTCACCCAGCCGGCTCTCATGCCTAAGGCGGGACTAGAACTCCCCGTCTCCTGGTTTCTAGCCCAACCCCTTAATCCCTGCTCCAAACTGACTCTCCTTGCATGTTCCTTTTCCCGGCCAATCAAAAACCGCTTCAGGTTCTTTCCGTAGCGCACGGAAGGATGGAGGGCTGTGCTCTGTACCTACCGCCCCACAGAAATGCGGGCGAGGGGGAGCCGGTGTCTTCCCTAGGCGGCTTCCAACCCCGAAGGCGTCTCTTTTCCAGGGCTGGGTCCTGCCCCACAGATGGAGAAGGCCGAGATGCAGAAGCGCGCGGAGCACTGCAACGATCGGAAGATGGCTTCCAAGCGGGTGCAGGAACTCAGCGTCGATCTCTTCTTCGGCGTCTTTGTCAAGGTCAGGGGCCCCAGGGCCATTCGGGGCCCCGGAGGGAAGGGACAGGCTGGGGGAGTTGGGGGGTCCTCTAAAAATCAGGTCTTTGTTGTGTTTGTGTAGCCCCCACCATCTGCTGGAAGAAACGTCGCAATTTTTCTTTCTTTCTTTCATTGATTTGCAGGTAGTCCTCAATTTACGAACGCAACGGAGCCCCATATTTCCGTCGCTAAATGAGACGTTTTGTCAAGATGGGTTTTGCCCCCATTTTTCGACCTTTCTCGACACCGTCGTTCAGTGAATCACTGCGGTTCTTAAGTTAGCCACAAGGTTTTTAAGTGAAGCTGGCTTTCCCGTTGTTTGTCCGAAGGTGGCAAAAAGGGGATCGCGTGACCCTGGGATGCTGCGACCGTCATTAATACGAGCCAGTGGCCAAGCGTTGTGAATTTTGATCACGTGACCGTGGGGATGTTGCAATGGTCGTAAGTGGGAGTAGCGGTCATAAATCACTTGCAACTTCGAACCGCCACTAAATGAATGCATGTAAACCGAGGACTCCCTGTATAGCAGGTTTTTTTCAATGCAGCAACTTTTAAGATGTGTGGGCTTCAAATCTAGCCTTGCTACCTGGGGAACCCTGGGAGTTGAAATCCAGAGGACCTGGATTAGGAATGCTGGCAGTTGAAATCCGGACGGCCCAGATTAAGAACGCTGGGAGTTGAAGTCCGGATAACCTGGATTAGGAACGCTGGCAGTTGAAGTCCGGTTGACCTGGATTAGGAACGCTGGGAGTTGAAGTCCGGATAACCTGGATTAGGAACGCTGGGAGTTGAAGTCCGGATAACCTGGATTAGGAACGCTGGGAGTTGAAGTCCGGATAACCTGGATTAGGAACGCTGGGAGTTGAAGTCCGGATAACCTGGATTAGGAACGCTGGGAGTTGAAGTCCGGATAACCTGGATTAGGAACGCTGGGAGTTGAAGTCCGGATAACCTGGATTAGGAACGCTGGGAGTTGAAGTCCGGATAACCTGGATTAGGAACGCTGGGAGTTGAAGTCCGGATAACCTGGATTAGGAACGCTGGGAGTTGAAGTCCGGATAACCTGGATTAGGAACGCTGGGAGTTGAAGTCCAGATTAGGAACGCTGGCAGTTGAAGTCCGGATAACCTGGATTAGGAACGCTGGCAGTTGAAGTCCGGATAACCTGGATTAGGAACGCTGGGAGTTGAAGTCCAGATTAGGAACGCTGGGAGTTGAAGTCCGGATAACCTGGATTAGGAAAGCTGGGAGTTGAAGTTGGGACGGCCCAGATTAAGAACGCTGGGAGTTGAAGTCCACACTTCTTCAAAGATGCTAAATGGAAAAACACCCAAATATGCCACCAGGGAGATTTTTTTCTCTTGGAAAAAAAAAAACCCTATGAATTTTTCAATGAATATATAAAAACAGGTAGTCCTCGACTTACAACAGTCCATTTAAGTGACCGCTCAAAGTTACAACGGCACCGAAAAATGGGACTTAGGACTGTTTTTCAGCCTTATCAACTGACGCGGCGCCCCCAGGGTTTATGTCATCCAAACCCAGACGCCTGGCAACTGATTCATATTTACGACGGTGGCCGTGTCTTGGGATCACGTGATCCCCTTTTGCGACCGTCTGACAAGCAAAGCCAACGGGGGAATCCGCATTCACTTAACAACTATGTTACTCGCTTAACAACTACAGCGATTCACGTAACCCCTGTGGCAGGAACAGTTGTAAAAATGGGGCAAAACTCAACGCATGTTTCATTTCGCCACATAAACTGGGGGGGGTGTTTCAATTGTGGTCGTAACTTGAGGACTACTTGTAAAAAGCAAGAGACCTCCAGCTCTGATCTAAGGCCTTTGGAGACCAGTTCTTTCCTGGAGAGATCTGGGGATCTGCTCCTCCTGACTCAACCAGAGTTCAGTGCAAGGGTTTTGCATGTTTTGCAGGCTTGGATGGGAACTGGGTTCGAATCTCTGTGTGGAACCAAGGGGCTGCTCCCTTTTGCTCATCCCTCCCTCCCCTCCTCCTTCCCTGCCTAACCCCCTCCCCCAATGTGGTCTCTTGCAGGAGTGTGGACCGCTGGAATCGGAGGCCATGGTGATGGGTGTCCTCAACGAGGCCTTTGATGTCCTGGTGCTGCGATTCGGAGTCCAGAAGCGCATTTATTGCAACGTAAGCCCATGCGATTCCCCCCCCTCCCCGGGTGGCGGGATGTGTCTGAGAGTGAGCCAGGCAATCTGTTTGCATTTTTAGTGAACCCAACTAGATCAAATTGGATGGAGCCAGAGAACCTAGGAAATGAAAAGATTTGGCTGGGGGGCTGCCCAGAAACAATGAAAAAAAATTGAAAAAAAAGTATTTTTTTGAAAATGTTATTAACAGCAACAACAACAACATAAAATAAATGAATAAAATTCCCCGAATAGCCATAGTACTTAGAATTATATACCTATATCAGGGGTCTTCAAACTTGGCCCTTTTATGACTTGTGGACTTCAACTCCCAGAATTCCTCAGCCAGCATGCCTGGCTGAGGAATTCTGGGAGTTGAAGTCCACAAGTCATAAAAGGGCCGAGTTTGAAGACCCCTGCCTTAAATCTAACAAACAAAATGGAGGCTGGTTGAGGAATTCTGGGAGTTGAAGTCCACAAATCATAAAACGGCCGAGTTTGAAGACCTCTGTGTTAAATCTAACAAACAAAATGGAGACTGGCTGAGGAATTCTGGGAGTTGAAGTCCACAAGTTATCAAAGGGCCAAGTTTGAAGACCCCTGACCTATATGACAGTTGCAGTGTCCCGGGGGAGGGGTCACGCAATCCCCTTTTGCGACCTGCCGACAAACAAAGTCAATGGAGGAAGCCAGATTTGCTTAACGACCGCGTGGCTAACTTAACAACTGCAGTGATTCACTTAAGAACCAGGTGACTAACTTATCAACTGCGGCAATTCACTTATTGTGTTTCCCAGAAAATAAGTCCCACCCCAAAAATAAGCCCCAGTTAAGATCATCAGCCAGACTTAGGCATTTAGTACCGTATTCCCCTAGCTGGAAAATAAGCCCCAGGGCGTCTTTTGTAGCAAAAATTAATATTAAGACCCTGTTCTTATTTTCGGGGAAACACGGTTACACCTGTGGCAAGAACGGTCGTAAAACGGGGCAGCTTAACAGCTGTCCCGCTTAGCAACGGAAACTTGAGGCTCAGTTGAGGTCGTAAAGACTACGTGCTGTTGAAAGAAAAATCTTTATCAGGGTCCAGTCCAAGCCGGGAATAAACGAAATGGAGACTGCTTTAGAAAGAAGCAGTTTGCAGTTTATTGAAGAGGAGAGCCAGACAGAAAGATGGCTCTGGGGAAAACTGACCACACGTAGCTGGGAGTGGTGGGTTTTTATACCCTATGGCAGTGGTGGTGAGCCTATGGCACGGGTGCCAGAGGCGACACTCAGAGCCCTCTCTGTGGGCACGCGTGCTGTCGCCCCAGTCCTAGGCCTTCAGCTGGGTTTTATAAAACCTTTTTGCTTTAGGCCTCTGCCGCCGTGTGCAAAAAAAAAAAAAAGGTTCAATCAATCAGTCAATTTCAACTTCTCGCGGGAAAAAAAAAAGATCTTGCAAAGTTGGAATTGATTGATTGAACTTTTTAGTCCCGCCCAGTCTGCCGTTACCACCGCGGCCATGCCCACCCAATGGACCACACCCCCCAATGGGCCACACCCACCCGGCACCCGATGATGCATAAGTGGGTTTGGGGTTGCAGTTTGGCCACTCGGTCTCTAAAAGGTTCGCCATCACTGCCCTATGGGGCTTTTGAGGTTGTTTCCTGTTCCTGTTTGAGGCTTTGCATTTCCTGTGTCATGTAGGGAGAAGTTTCTGCCTTTTTAAAGATCTTCTCCATTATTCCTTTGGGGAAATATATTCTGCCTTTTTAATATTCCCCCAAATATTTCTTTCTCTGGATTCTTCCCGCACTGCCTCGCCCTCTTGCATCTGCGGGTCTCGTTCCATCCCAAGCCAGTTCAGGACCCCATCCTGGGGCGGGGAGAGGGGAAGATGATGGCTCCCACCCACCTGCTTTGTTCTGTGTGCTGCCCTCCCTCCCTTGTCTTCGTCTGCTTGGGGACGCCGGGCCCGTACCGGCTGCCCCTCCATCTGCGCCTTGCAGAATTGAAGACCATTATCCCCTCCCGGCACGATCATTAAAGCGGAGCCGATAGTGCCAAGCAGGCACGTCTGCCTTCCGAACGATCGAGCAGGGAGACGTTGGGATGCATTTCCGCTGTCGCAAACAGGACTCGGCGGCGTCTGGCGGCCCCCTCCGTCTGGGGTGGGCAAAGGGCCGTGCCAGTCCCCGGTGGGCACAAGACGGGGAAGGAGCCGGGATGAGTTGCTAGGCCGGTTCTGTTATTTCCCTTTTTCTTTTGAAGACGTCTAAATCAGTGGTTCTCAACCTGTGGGTCGGGACCCCATTTGGGGTGGAACGACCATTTCACGGGGGTCGCCAAACCACGCAGTCCGCCATTTTTTCCCCCTTTTCCTTAGCTGTGCTACTCCCTTTTATTCTATTGGCTTTTGAAAGCCAATAGAATAGACTCTCTTGAATAGAGTCTAATTCTATTGGCTTTCAAAAGCCAATAGAATTGTCCAGGCTGTCTCTGCCCTGCTGAGCCCGCCAAAAGTCCCATTCTGCAAACGGTGCTGCACCAGTTGAGTAGTCCTCGACTTATGACCGGTTGAGTAGTCCTCGACTTATGACCGGTTGGGGGTCGCGGCATTAACAAGGTTCAGAACCACTGGTCTAAATAAAGGCGGTCCTCCCCTTACGAACCCACAGCTGAGCCCAAAACCTCCGTCGCTTAGTGGGACGTTGGTTCGGTGAGATTTGCTCCCAATTTATGACTGTTCTTGCCGCGTTTGGGCAGAGAGAGAAGGACCGGGCCAAAATCACCCAGTTGGCTTTCATGCTAAAGGCAGAACTAGAACTCACCATCTCCTTGTTATGGGTTCCTGGCCACTTTCCTTCGTGACCAGCGGCAAGCTCGCCTGACCAAGAACCAGCCAAGACACCGTGAAGGCCTTTTGTTTCGTTGATTGCAATAAGCGGGGAGAGAAGCTATCAAAGGTTGGTTCTCTCCAAAGTTTTAACCCAAAATATTTCCTTCTTTATACACTCCTTGTCCCGGCCACCACATCCCTCCTCTTTCCCCATTGGTGAGGTACTACTATGAGGTTACACTCTTTCCGACCATCTCCTGCCTATTTCCTGCTACATACTAAATCAGTGGTTCTCAACCTTTTTAATGCCGCAACCCCCAAACGGTCGTAAGTCAAGGACTACTCGACCGGTTGTAAGTCGAGGACTACTCAACTGGTGCAGCACCGTTTGCAGACTGGGGCTTTTGGTGGGCTCAGCAGGGCAGAGACAGCCTGGACAATTCCTATTGGCTTTGGAAAGCCAATAGAATTAGACTCTATTCAAGAGAGTCTATTCTATTGGCTTTCGAAAGCCAATAGAATAAAAGGGAGTAGCACAGCTAAGGAAAAGGGGAAAAAAAATGGCGGACTGCGTTGTTTGGCGACCCCCGTGAAATGGTCGTTCGACCCCAAATGGGGTCCCGACCCACAGGTTGAGAACCATTGTACTAAATCATACATCGCATGTACATTAATAATATAAAATATTAGACATATTCAATTGTCGGTTTTGAGTTCTGGGCCCCGGCTTAGAACAATAGGTTCTTTCCTCTTTTTCAGTTTAGTTAAGTTTTCCTGGCTAGCCATTTCCTCTTACAGCTGTTTTTTTATAGCTTGTCTTCGTCCTTTCCTGCTCTAAGACCCAGCTAATTTTTGCCTACGTATTTATTTTACGTCCTGCCTTTATGCTCTCCTTTCCTGTGTCCCAGCCATTCTAGTTTTGGGTACGCTTGTTTGTCTTGTAAGTTTCCACTGCAGCAAATTCAGTTTTGAAATTTCTTTTTCAATATTCAATTTTGAAGACCTTTCGTTTACGTCTGTCATCCTGGTGATCAGCCCAAAGTCACCTAGCTGGCTTTCATGCCTAAGGTAGGACTTGAACTCACAGCCTCTGGTGATTGGCCCAAAGTCACCCAGCCAGATTTCATGCCTAAGGCGGGACTAGAACTCACCCAGCTTTCATGGCTTCCTTCCTGGAGGCTTCTGAATGACCCCAGCGAGAAGCCAGTTTCTAGTCATCATCGGCCTCCTCAACCCCACACCCTTCTAGGATTGATGATGTTACCTAGTTGGGTAATGAAACATCTGCAAGAAGAGCACCAAGATCAGAGAGCACCACCAAGAACCCCACAGTCGTCTTCTTCTTCTTCTTCTTCTTCTTCTTCTTCTTCTTCTTCTTCTTCTTCTTCTTCTTCTTCTTCTTCTTCTTCTTCTTCTTCTTCTTCTTCTTCTTCCTCCTCTTCCTCCTCCTCCTCCTCCTCCTCCTCCTCCTCCTCCTCTTCTTCTACTACTACTACTACTACTACTACTTCTACATCTATTTCTACTTCTTCTTCTGCCATATCCGTTATTGGACGTTGGCAATCATGTTGGCGATCCTGTTTTTATCAGCAGCTGCACAAAAAAGTGCTGCTGAGTTTTGTCCAAACCAGTCCCTTAGATTTTGAAGCCATAATGTTCTTCTTCTGCCTGGACCTCGTTTGCCTTCAATCTTTCCCTGGAGGATTAAATGGAGTATGCCGTATTTTTCTGGGTGTCGCATCACATGTCCGAAATATTCTAATTTTTGTTTTTTAATTGTTTTGATGATTTCCCTTGGCTTTCCCAGGCAGCTTATCACCTCCTCATTTCTGATCTTGTCAACCCAGCTTCTACGTAACAGCCACCTGTCAATCCACATTTCAAATGCTTCTAGTCTCTTCAGGTGGCCTTCTGTCAGAGACCAGCTCTCTACTCCATAGAGCAGGATAGGAAAAATACAGCATCTGACAAGCCTGATGCCTTAAGTGCCCGCAAACCGGTAGTAGAGCAAATACCGTCCTTATCTGGAACCTCAACCCCAGTGATCCAGTGGCCCAGCCTGGCTGACTTGGGCAGTGCCAGGATGAAGAAGGAAAAAACCCCCCACAGAATTTATTTTCTTATCTATTAAATTTATTTTCTGCTCACTTTGAGGTAACTCTGGGCAGCTTACAATATTAAAAGATAAGATACGATAACCTTTGCGGTCATTTTTTTTTTTTACTGTGGGCACACTTGGCACATATTAAAAATGAAATTCCTGAAAGATAAAACTATATACACAAATGGTTACAAAAATATAAACGTACGAATGTACAACATACAGAAGGGGGCTGTATATTATATTGTATTGTATTGTATTGTATTGTATTGTATTGTTATGTTATGTTATATTATATTATATTATATTATATTATATTACTATATTGTTTTCTCGTTCTTCTCTCCCATTTTTTTTTCTTTTTTCTTTTCTCTTCTTTTCTTTCTTTTTTTTGGGTGTGTCTTCTTCTTTACTTACTTTTTTAGACATGAAAAATAGATCTAAATCCTTAAATGTAATAAACCTTGAGAAAATCTTAACCAGTAAGAACGTTTTGAACCTTGTAGGGAAAACACATTTAAATAAGAATTGTCAATGGGATTTATGAGGAGGCAACCAAGATGATCGGAGAGAAAAGTAGCACGATCTTGACATGATGATTCTTATCGGTAGAAATTTTAGAGAAATCTTTGTATTGAATTGTTGTATTGAAATTTTAGAGAAATCTTTGTATTGTTGTAAGACTTGTATTCATTTAAAGTTGGCAATATCGTTGGAAGAAGAGAAAATCAAGCAAAGCTATTAGGTGGACTTTGGAATATAGAAACTGATTGTTCGTGATTATTTTGCAAATATAAGCCCAGAGAACAAGCTGTTGATCAAATATTAAGGTGTTTATGCTAAAAAAAAATCAATAAAATATATTTTTTAAAAAAGAAGAAGAAGGGGGTTGAAAAGGCCTTCTGTACGTGGACAGGGGGTGTCTGGCATTTGGAAGAGGGGGGGTCCTCACAGGTTGGTATCCCTCTGCAGCCCCCCCCCCTGTTGACCCCATCTCCCCTTGCCTTGCAGGCTCTGCCCTTGGTGGGATTCCAGTTTCAAAAAGTGGGCAAAAAGCCACAGCTGTCGCTGGTGTGGGAACCGCAGAGCACGGAGCAGGATGCCCCACGGCAGGTAATGTTGGCCCTCGCCCACTCCCCACCCTCACCCCACTGTTCACCTGGGTCTCCTGCCCTCAGCTTTGCCCTCAGCCAGCCCCTGATGCCATCCAAAAACTACTGGCAGAGTTGGTCGGAGAACATGGTTTCCTGGGTCACACGACGCATCGGTGTGAATTCGGCTGCCAAGCTTTGGGTTGAGGTCTTCTCCATCTCTGATGATGATGATGATGATGATGATGATTTGGGTTGAGGTCTTCCTCCATCTCTGATGATGATGATGATTTGGGTTGAGGTCTTCCTCCATCTCTGATGATGATGATGATTTGAGTTGAGGTCTTCCTCCATCTCTGATGATGATGATGATGATTTGGGTTGAGGTCTTCCTCCATCTCTGATGATGATGATGATGATTTGGGTTGAGGTCTTCCTCCATCTCTGATGATGATGATTTGGGTTGAGGTCTTCCTCCATCTCTGATGATGATGATGATGATGATTTGGGTTGAGGTCTTCCTCCATCTCTGATGATGATGATTTGGGTTGAGATCTTCCTCCATCTCTGATGATGATGATGATGATGATTTGGGTTGAGGTCTTCCTCCATCTCTGATGATGATGATTTGGGTTGAGGTCTTCCTCCATCTCTGATGATGATGATGATGATGATGATGATGATGATTTGGGTTGAGGTCTTCCTCCATCTCTGATGATGATGATGATGATTTGGGTTGAGGTCTTCCTCCATCTCTGATGATGATGATGATTTGGGTTGAAGTCTTCCTCCATCTCTGATGATGATGATGATTTGGGTTGAAGTCTTCCTCCATCTCTGATGATGATGATGATGATGATGATAATAATAATAAAGTTGGAAGGGGATCACATGGACCCTGGGGGACGCTGCAACCACCATAAAGACACGCCAGTTGCCAAGCGCCTGAATTTTTGATCACGTGACCGCGGGGGATGCTACAAGGGCCGTCCGTTTGAAAAACGTGTGGAGGTCATCTAGTCCAACCCCCTGCTCAGGCAGGAAACCCTATATCATTTCAGACAAATGGCTGTCCAGTCTCTTCTTAAAAACCTCCAGTTTTGGAGCACCCACAATTTCCGGTGGCAAGCTGTTCCACTGATTAATTGTCCTCACTGTCAGGAAGTTTCTCCTTAATTCCAGGTTACTTCTCTCCTTGGTTAGTTTCCATCCATTGCTTCTTGTCCTGCCTTCAGGTGCTTTGGAGAAGAGCTTGACTCCCTCTTCTTTAGGGCAGCCCCTGAGAGATTGGAAGGCTGCTATCCTATCTCCCTTAATCTTTCTCTTCATTAAACTAGACCAGGGGTAGGCAACCTTGGCTCTTTTATGACTTGCGGATTTCAACTCCCAGAATTCCTAAGCCAGCATGGCTCAGCTTGGAAACCTCTCCCTTTCCCCTCAGCATGGCTGGCTCAGGAATTCTGGGAGTTGAAGTCCACGAATCATAAAAGAGCCAAGGTTGCCTACCCCTGAACTAGACATACCCAATTCCAACAACCGTTCCTCATATGTTTTAGCCTCCAGTCCTCTGATCATCTTTGTTGCTCTTCTCTGCACTCTTTCTAGACCAGTGGTGGTGAACCTATGGCACGCGTGCCACAGGTGGCACGCAGAGCCCTCTCTGCGGGCATGCGTGCCGTCGCCCCAGTCCCAGGCCTTCAGCTGAGTTTTATAAAATCTTTTCGCTTTAGGCCTCTGCCTCCATGTGCAAAAAAAAGAGGTTCAATCAATCAATCAATCAATTTCAACTTCTGGTGGGAAAAAAAAAGATCTTGGAATGTTGGAATTGATTGATTGAACTTTTTAGTCCCACCCAGTCTGCCGTTACCACCGCAGCCATGCCCACCCAATGGGCCACACCCACCCGGCACCCGCCGATACAGAAGTGGGCTTTGGGTTGCAGTTTGGGCACTCGGTCTCTAAAAGGTTCGCCGTCTCAACTTTTTTACATCGTGGTGACCAAAACTGGATGCTGTATTGATTTTTGGCTCCTTGGTAAGGTCCAGCTTTAACCACTGCGCCCCACTGCCTCTGAGCCCAGCCTTTGTCCCTTTCCTCTCCTCAAAGCCTCTGGAGCTGCGTTTCTCTTTTAAGACACAAGTGGTCCTCAATTTACAACCGTTCGCCGCTGCGCTGCAAAAAGTGACTTCGGGTTGTTTTTCACACGGACGGCCCTTGCAGCATCCCTCCGGGGCCACGTGATCAAAAATTCAGGCGCTTGGCAACTGGCGTGTCTTTATGACGGTTGCAGCGTCCCCTGGAGTCCATGTGATCCCCTTTTGTGACCTTCTGGCTCTCTCTGGGTTTGATCATTTGCCCAATTATAGCAGCACATTACACATTAACCCAAGTGGCTGTAAAATTGACAAATGTTGATATTTACCCGGAAAATAATCAGAAATAATTAACTGAACTTGCAACGTATTTTTAGAAAACGGCCATCCGGACTTTGCCTCTTTTAACGCTGATTCCAAGAGGGCTGATCGGGACAGAAAGCTGAAGCGATGCCAGGAAAAAGGACGGCCCCGTTTGCTCGGGAAATGAGATATTTTTATGCTTTGTAACGTGACTTACAATGTGACGGTTCAAAGTTACGACAACACTGGGGAAAAAAGGGTTTCCTGCCTGAGCAAGGGGTTGGACTAGATGAGCTCCAAGGTCCCTTCCAACTTTATTATTATTATTATTATTATTATTAACCGTTTTTCATGGCAGCATCCCCACGGTCACGTGATTTACATCTGGATGCTTGACAGCTGATTCATATTTATGACGGTCACAGCGTCCCTGGGTCACACGATCCCCTTTTGTGGCCTTCTGACTAGCAAAGTCAATGGGGGAAGCTGGATTCACTTAACGACCGTGTGACTAACTTAATAACTGCAACGATTCACTTAACAACTGGGTCGAGAAAAGTCGCAAAATGGGCCAAAACGTCCTTTAACAAACGTCTTCACTTAGCAACATAAATTTTGGGCGTAAGTCGAGGACCTACCTGTACAAGTAGCGGGGATCGTCCACGCAGCCAAGTGAGAGGGATTCAGGACAGATGAAAACAAAATCTTCAGATGGTTGCCCACTTAGATATATAAGGAACGGTTGCTGGAATTGGATACATCTAGACCAGGGGTGGACAACCTTGGCTCTTTTATGACTCATGGACTTCAACTCCCAGAATTCCTGAGCCAGCTATGCTGAGGGGAAAGGGAGAAGTTTCCAAGCTGAGCCATGCTGGCTCTGGAATTCTGGGAGTTGAAGTCCACGAGTTATGAAGGGGCCATAGTTCCCCCATGCTGGCTCAGGAATTCTGGGAGTTGAAGTCCGCGAGTTATGAAGGGGCTATATTTCTCCATGCTGGCTCAGGAATTCTGGGAGTTGAAGTCCATGAGTCATGAAGGGGCCACAGTTTCCCCATGCTGGCTCTGGAATTCTGGGAGTTGAAGTCCACGAGTTATGAAGGGGCCATAGTTCCCCCATGCTGGCTCAGGAATTCTGGGAGTTGAAGTCCGCGAGTTATGAAGGGGCTATATTTCTCCATGCTGGCTCAGGAATTCTGGGAGTTGAAGTCCATGAGTCATGAAGGGGCCACAGTTTCCCCATGCTGGCTCAGGAATTCTGGGAGTTGAAGTCCACCAGTCATAAAAGAGCCAAGGTTGCCTACCCCTGGCCTAATCTAATGAAGAGAAGGACGAGGGGGGACATGATAGCAGTCTTCCAATATCTCAGGGGCTGCCCCAAAGAAGAGGGAGTCAAGCGCCTCCAAAGCGCCTGAAGGCAGGACAAGAAGCAACGGGTGGAAACTAACCAAGGAGAAAAGCAACTTAGAACTAAGGAGAAACTTCCTGACAGTTGGAACAATTAACCAGTGGAACAACCTGCCTCCAGAAGCGGTGAATGCTCCAACACTGGAAGTTTTTAAGAAGAGATTGGACAGCCATTTGTCTGAAATGGTATATGGGGTTTCCTGCCTGAGCAGGGGGTTGGACTAGATGACCTCCAAGGTCCCTTATTATTATTATTAGGTATTCCTTGACTTAACCACCGTTTGTTTAGTGACTATTCAAAGTTACCAAGGGCACTGGAAAAAAAAAGTGACTTAAAATTTCTCTTGCTAAGCGAGACAGCTGTTAAGTGAAATTTGCCCCTTTTTATGACCTTTCTTGCCACAATCGTTAAGCAAATCACTGCGGTTGTTAAGTTAGTCACATGGTCATTAAGCGAATCTGGCTTCCCCGCGGATTTTGATTGTAAGAAGATCGCAAAAGGAAAAGGAAGAGTTGATTGAATGGAAGATAGAGCTGTTGGGGGGAGCTGTTGGGAACTGAAGAAGGAGGAGGCTGTTTAATGAACATCAATGGGTTCGTTCTTCCAAAACGACTTTAAACTAATGGTCTTTCTTATTCCAAACCGTATACACAAAAACAGAGGAAAAATTACTTAATAATAATAATAAAGTTGGAAGGGACCTTGGAGGTCATCTAGTCCAACCCCCTCCTCAGGCAGGAAACCCTAGACCATTTCAGACAAGTGACTGTCTAGTCTCTTCTTAAAAACTTCCAGTGTTGGAGCATTCACCGCTTCTGGAGGCAAGGAGTTCCACTGGTTAGTTGTTCTGACTGTCAGGAAGTTTCTCCTTAGTTCTAGGTTGCTTCTCTCCTTGATTAGTTTCTCCATCCGTTGCTCCTTGTCCTGCCTTCAGGCGCTTTGGAGAGTAGCTTGACTCCCTCTTCTCTGGGGCAGCCCCTATTGCAGGGGTAGGAAACCCAAAACACTCAAAGAGCCACTTGGACCCGTTTCCCACCAAAAACAAAACACCGGGAGCCGCAAAACCCTTTTGATATCTAAAATGAAGATAACACTGCATATATCCTTTTTTACCTTTATTATAGGGGTGTGTGTGTGTGTGTCTGTATTTGTGTGTGTGTGTATGTAATGTGTGTATGTGTGTGTATACACATACTACATACATACACACAGGTAAAAAGGATATATGCAGTGTTATCTTCATTTTAATGTCAAAAGTGTCTCTCTCTCTCTCTCTCTCCCTCCCTCCCTCCCTCTCTATCTGCCCTTGGTCTGCCAGTCCTCTTCCCCCACTCTCTTTCTTTTTCTCTCTCTCTCTTTCCTCTCTCTCTCTCCCTCCCTCTCTCTTTCTCTTTCTCTCCCCCCCCCCTGTCCCTCTCTCCTATCTGCTGCTCACCTGGCAAGCTGGCTTCAAGCTGTTCTCCAACAAGCTCAGGGGTAAGCAACCTCGGCTCTTTTATGACTCATGGACTTCAACTCCCAGAATTCCTGAGTCAGCATAGCTGGGCTAGCTAGCTCTCTCCTGCCCTTCCTGCTTCCTGCAGAGATGTAGCAAAGGGAGGAGCTCCGCCCAATAAGCTTTTCAGATCCTTGGAGAACACTGTGAGTGCACTCTCTTTTACACACACACACACACACACACACACACACAGAGAGAGAGAGAGAGAGAGAGAGAGAGAGAGAGAGAGAGAGAGAGAGAGAGAGAGAGAGAAGCAGGGAAGCACAATTGTCTCTCTCTGTCTCCTGTCTCTCTGCAAATGGGAGAGGAGGCTGGGAGCCACAGGGTAAGGCTCAAAGAGCTGCATGCGGCTCTGGAGCCGCAGGTTGCCGACCTGTGCCCTATTGGAACACTGCTATCCTGTCACCCCTCGCCCTTCTCTTCATTAATTTTAAACAAATGGTCTTTCTTATTCGAAACAATATACACAAAAACAGAGGAGAAATTACTCGGTGATTGAAAGGCACTGACTTGGAAAGTCAGTTGGCAAAGGAAGAAAGCTAGAGTAAGACTGAAGTAAATAGAAGTTTTGACCCATTAAGTGGGACATTATACTATTAATTAGATGTTTGAATATGGTGGAGAATAGATAATTGCTAGAAATAGGAAGTATTATTATAACTAGAAAGATAAGATTTGTGATTAGAATATTAGATTTTGGTATGAGAAGGGAAACAGGAAAATGCTAAGAAGTTTGACTAAGGGAAGCTTTTGGTTACCCAAATATAACCTACTTTGGAATTATAAACAATACAGGGATTTTGAACACTGATGGGAAATTAAAATTAAAAAAAAAAGCAAAAACAGGATATTGATTGAACATATGGACGTTAAGTGCAAATGCAATTAAGATATATTTTGGTTAGGAAAGATATTTTAAACTGACATTGTTGCTATTATGAGAAAAATGTAACAAAAGATGTCGATATTCAACAGTATATTTATTAATAATAATAAAAATTGTATTTGCCTAGTGTGGGGAAAAAAGTACTAAAAAAGAAAAAAAGAAGAGAGGAAATATTTGATGGTACAATATTGGATCTAGACTGAAGAAGCTAATATAGACCGCTGAATTACTAATGGACCCAGACGACACCTTGTTTATTAAGTATTTGACTGTAAAACTCAAAAATTAATAAAATATTTATTAAAAAAAGTTCGCCAAAAGGGATCACACAACCCCTGGGGGACACTGCGACGGTCATAAATACAAGTCAGTTGCCAAGCATCTGAATTGGATCACATGCAACGGTCGTTAAGTGTGAAAATCATTCACAAATCACTTTTGTCAGGGCCGTTGTAACTTCAAACGGTCACTAAACGAATCGTACTCTGTCTCCCGCTCAAGGTCATCACCATATTCGCCTTGGTGGACGTCGTTCTGCGAGTCGACAGCGGTGCCGTGAAGTACAGCGCGGTGCTGAAGAGGCCCGGTGGCGGAGAGTGAGCAGGCCTGGCTCCCGGTTACGAATCCTGCCCATTTGGCCCCAAACCGCTAATTTTGGCAGCCTCCAGACCTGAACTCCGTGGGAAAAAGAACAGAGACTTTTAATTGAATTGAATTTTTGCAGACGGGTTTTTATTTTATCTCGGGGTTTTTAACAAAAGGGGGGGGTAAAACCAAGATGGCGGCCTCATGGCCCACATTAAAAAAAAAAACCAAAAACGATAGGGCAGGGGTCTTCAAACTTGGCCCTTTTATGACTTGTGGACTTCAACTCCCAGAATTCCTCAGCCAGGCATGCTGGCTGAGGAATTCTGGGAGTTGAAATCCACAAGTCATAAAAGGGCCAAGTTTTAAGACCCCTGCGATAAGGGCTTTGCTTGTGGATTGTGGCTGCCATCTTGATTTTTTTATTTTTTATTTTACCTTCTCCAGCAAGGAGTCACAAATAGTTTGGAAGTGTAACTCAGCCCTCTTTCCATCTTCTTTGATGATTTGGGGCTTGTTGTTGTTTTTTAATTTGAATTTGTGCCCTATCTAAACAAGAGCATCTTCCTTGTTGTATCCAGTCCGCGGGGTGCTCCCTATCGATGTAAATAATCTCTTACTCAGCTTTGTGTTTCCCCCGTGGCTTCCATCCATGGCTCGTGCGTCCGCTGGCTAAACTGGAACTTGCGATGGGAAAGGAAGCGGTGACATCTGTGATGGAGTTGTGGGTCTCTTTTTCAATGCCGCTGCTTCGCCTCTCCCAAAGCTGCAACTTTAAATCTGTTTTTTTTTTTTTTTTGCTCTAACAGCTTCTTTTCCCTGGGCAGATGAATTGTGAGAATCTGAGCATTCTGTATAAGAAAGGACACCGTCTCGCCTTTGTTCTTCCCCCCCCCCCCGAAATTCTAAATAAAGAAAAACTGGAAAACTACAATGAAATAAATTTCTGGAATCCTCCTAAAATCCGTGTTCAGTTGTGGTTTCTCTTACGGCAGCTGGTGGGGGGGGGAAACCCCCATAAGGTATAAAAACTCACTCCCTACATGTGCTCTCTCTCTTTTCTTTCAGAGCCAACTTTCTGTCTGGCTCTCCGCTTCAATAAACTGCAACCGTCTTTCTAAAGCGGTCTCCATGTTTATTTATTCCCGACTTGGACCGAACCATGAGGAAGATTTTTCTTCCAACAAGGGCTAGGCAGGAATGGATGCCAAGCTTGCTTGCTCAAAAGTACATCAGGTGAGCCTCTGTGGGAAGTGCTCTTGAACATCTTCATCAACGATTTGGACGAAGGGATAGATGGGGAACTCATCAAATTTGCAGACGACACCAAGCTGGCAGGAATAACCAACACTCCAGAAGACAGGCTTAGGATACAGGAGGATCTGGACAGACTTGAACACTGGGCACTATCTAACAAAGTGAAATTCAATGGTGAAAAAAGCAAGGTTCTACATTTAGGCAAGAAAAACCAAATGCACAAGTACAGCATAGGTGACACCATGCTCAATAGTAGTAACTGTGAGAGGGACCTCAGAGTCCTAGAAGACAATCACCTAAATATGAGCCAGCCATGTGTTGCAGCTGCCAAAAAGGCCAACACAGTGCTAGGCTGCATTAACAGAGGGATAGAATCAAAATCACATGAAGTATTAATGCCACTCTACAATGCCTTGGTAAGGCCACACTTGGAATACTGCATCCAGTTTTGGTCACCACGATGTAAAAAAGATGTTGAGACTCTAGAAAGAGTACAGAGAAGAGCAACAAAGATGATTAGGGGACTGGAGGCTAAAACAGATAAGGAACGGCTGCTGGAATTGGGTATGTCTAGTTTAACGAAGAGAAGGACAAGGGGGGACATGATAGCAGTATTCCAATATCTCAGGGGCTGCCATAAAGAAGAGAGAATCAAGCTATTTTCCAAAGCACCTGAAGGCAGGACAAGAAGCAACGGGTGGAAACTAATCAAGGAGAGAAGCAACCTAGAACTAAGGAGAAACTTCCTGACAGTGAGAACAATTAATCAGTGGAACAGCCTGCCTCCAGAAGCAGTAAATGCTCCAACACTGGAAGTTTTTAAGAAGAGACTGGACAGCCATTTGTCCAAAATGGTGTAGGGTTTCCTGCCTGAGCAGGGGGTTGGACTAGATGACTTCCAAGGTCCCTTCCAACTTTACTACTATTATATTATATAAGTCTCCACATATCTCATTCCAGAGGGCAATCGATCGATTGATTAAGTATATCATGCTGGCTCAGGAATTCTGAGAGTTGAAGTCCACAGGTCATACAGAAGCCATGGTTTGCCCATCCATGCTCTGGAGCAGTGTTTCTCAACCTCAGCAACTTTACGTTGGGTGGACTTCAACTCCCAAACGTCCCACTCTTTGCAGCCACTCTGTGACACCATCGAAATTCTAGCAAGATTGGCCCAGGATGCTGAGAGATGTCATGGCTTATCAAACGTTGGTGAGCTTCCACTTTGATATGCAGGTTCTGAGGTTTTGCTTGATAAAGAAATACAGGAAACCAGTAAAGTTGCCATCAAACTTTACGTTTTTATTCCGCTGAATAGAGACGGACTCCTCTAAATGAGAGAGGCAATGAATGACAAGAAATCCTTGTATTTATTCTTTCTAATTACATAAGCACCCGATCCAGCAAAGCTGGCACACATAGGATAAAGATTTCACCCAGTAAGTCTGCCACACTGTAAATAAGAAGGGAGAAAGCAGAAGTAGCTAAACATGTTCCCTTTTGGGTGTTTCCCTCAAGCAGACATGTCAAACGCAAGGCCCGGGGCCCGGATACGGCCCACGAAGTGGTTTCATGTGGCCTGCAAAGCCATCCTGGAAACAGTGAGGGAACAGCCCCCCGCTGCCTTGGCCCTGGCCCAGGCCGGTCAGGAGCCAATGTACAATTTTGTGGTGGCCATCTATGCTGAAACGCATTCAGTCTTAGCTCTACAAGGCCGTCTGGAAACAGCGAGGAACCAGCCCCTGCTGCGTCGGCCCCGTCCCCTGGGTACATGCTGGGGAGGTGTCCCCCTTTGTGAGGAATGAAGAAATGCATCATCGCCTGGAAGTGGCCAGCAAATGGCCCTCGCCTACTTCACATATCCGGCTTGATGATGCCAGAGACCCTCAGATCTGTCCCAGTCCTGCCCACGTCCCAGAGGCACCCTTGACACGAATGATGTAGAGCTGGCCACGCCCAGAGGCACCCTTGATGCGAATGATGTAGAGCTGGCCACGCCCACTCCATCCATGCCCACCTAGTAGGCCCCCCCACCCACCCCGAGGGCAACCTCAATGCTGATGCGGCCCTCAATGAAATTGAGTTTGACACCCCTGCCCTAAAGATATCGTATGTTCTCTGGTGGGTTAGGACATTGGGTGTTGTCCTTGCTGTCCTTTCATGACCCTGCACCCAGGACTCAAAGAGAGAAGGGCCCTCTGTGCATAGTCACAACTGATATTGTCTCCTAATTCCTGATCATCAACTTTACCTGCTTTACCTGCAAATCTTCTTACTTCCTGCCAGCCCATCTTCAGTTGGCGTCTGGAGGCCACCGGCACGAAGTAGGATAGTTCTGGGGCATAGTCAGCTCCTTCCAATTTGAAGATCGCTTCCCTTCGCACCTCAAAGAGCGACAACGCGTCTTAGGATGCTCCAGGCCAACCGCAACAGGCTCTCCTGGCAACAAACCATGGTTTGGCCGGACGTCAGAAGAAGCTGCTGAGTGGATGCATATCCCCAAAGATTTGATGCCTGGATGCTGGCATGCTTTCAAAGCTTCTATCTGCGAGTTCCTTTTCAAGTAAACAAGATTTGTGCTTGTGCCAAGACAAGGTTGAGAGGAGATACCATAGCTGTCTCCAGATTTCTGAAGAGGGTCTGGATTTGATTCTCACTTGATCCAGAGGGGAAGTCTCGAATGAGTGGGATGAAACTTTAAGAACGGAGAGTCAGATGAAACACTAGCTTCTCCAGAGGAATCCCAAAGATGCTTTTTCAGGAGGCAACTGGACTTTGTTTTTTTTCTTGGAAGACGTTTCACTTCTCATCCCAGAAGCTTCTTCAGTTCTGACTGGATGGTGGGGAATGGAAGGATCTATATTCCTTGCAGACCGCTGGTCATTTGCCTTCTTTTAGAGGGTCGTTGAGTCCACCTGGAGGTTTATCTGTGTCCTCAGGGTCACTTGAGTTGTGCAGATGGAGGTGGAGACTTCTTGGAACGGCTGAAAGGACCCATGTTGTAGACTGGAGATAGATGGTGTCATATCCCTTCCCTCTGTTGAGAGAGGGCTGTTCAGTTTTGACATAGATGACATCCAGGTGGCCTCAATGACTCTCTAAGCCAGTGGTTCTCAACCTTTTTAATGCCGCGACCCCCAACCGGTCGTAAGTCGAGGACTACTCAACCGGTCGTAAGTCGAAGACTATTCAACTGGTGCAGCACCGTTTACAGAATGGCGGGCTCAGCAGAGCAGAGACAGCCTGGACAATTCCTATTGGCTTTTGAAAGCCAATAGAATTAGACTCTGTTCAAGAGAGTCTATTCTATTGGCTTTCAAAAGCCAAATAGAATAAAACGGAGTAGTACAGCTAAGGAAAAGGGGGGGGGGGGAAATGGCGGACTGCGTTGTTTGGCAACCCCCGTGAAATGGTTGTCCGACCCCAAATGGAGTCCCGACCCACAAGTTGAGAACCACTGCTCTAAGAGCATGCAAATGACCAGCTGTCTGCAAGGAGTATAAATCCTTCCATTACCCCACCATCCCACCAGGTTGCTCCTCTCCTTGATTGGTTTCCATCTGTTGCTTCTTGTCCTGCCTTCAGGTGCTTTGGAGAAGAGGTTGACCACCCCCCCCCTTCTTTGGGGCAGCCCCTCAAATACTACAACGCTGCTATCATGTCACCCTGGTCCTTCTTTTCACTAGACTAGACATATCCAATTCCTGCAACTGTTCTTCGTGTGTTTGTACTCTTTCTAAAGTCTCAGTCACAGATTCATTATTACTGCCTAGAGGCAAAAATCTGGTTAATTAACGGTCAGCACCAAATTGGTGCTAGATAAGGGTCAATAAAATTAAAGGGGGAGGGAGGGCTGGGTTGGTGTCTGTTGTGACAAAGCAATAGTTCCAAACTGATTATATGTTTAACTCCACCTTCCAACTCTTCTCTTCTATATGGAAAGTTGTTTTTGGTCCCTCTGAATTGACCCTTTAAAAGATTTAAAAAGTTGTCCCCCCCATTCAATCCGCCAGCAGATGTTCCTCTATAGATATGCATATTCAGTGTGTGGGCACAGTTTAAGAAATGTCTGCTTTTCTTCACCACAGCTGCCTTATTTTAATGTAAATACACCAGATATGGATCTGTTGCAATTAGACTAACTCAGAGCTCCTCAACCTGAGTGACTTCAAATGGGTAGACTGCAACTCCCAGAATCCCCCAGTCAAGCCCTCAGTTTCCCAGGCAAGACACGGAGCGTGTAACCCTCTTCTCCAAAGCACCTGAAGGCTGAACAAGAAGCAACGGATGAGAACTAATCAAGGAGAGAAGCAACCTGGAACTAAGGAGAAACTTCCTGACAGTGAGAACGATTAGCCAGTGGAACCACCTGCCTCCAGAAGCAGTGAATGCTCCAACACTGGAAGTTTGTAAGAAGAGACTGGACAGCCATTTGTCTGAAATGGGATAGGGTTTCCTGCCTGAGCAGGGGGTTGGACTAGATGACCTCCAAGGGCCCTTCCAACTCTGTTTTCTGTTATCCATCCTTCCTTCCTTCCTTCCTTCCTTCCTTCCTTCCTTCCTTCCTTCCTTCCTTCCTTCCTTCCTTCCTTCCTTCCTTCCTTCCTTCCTTCCTTCCTTCTCCAACACTGGAAGTTTGTAAGAAGAGACTGGACAGCCATTTGTCCGAAATGGGATAGGGTTTCCTGCCTGAGCAGGGGGTTGGACTAGATGACCTCCAAGGGCCCTTCCAACTCTGTTTTCTGTTATCCTTCCTTCCTTCCTTCCTTCCTTCCTTCCTTCCTTCCTTCCTTCCTTCCTTCCTTCCTTCCTTCTCCAACACTGGAAGTTTTTAAGAAGAGACTGGACAACCATTTGTCTGAAATGGTATAGGGTTTCCTGCATGAGCAGGGGGTTGGACTAGATGACCTCTAAGGTCCCTCCCAACTCTGTCCTTCTGTATTTAAAAAAGTTGTCCTGTGATTCAATCAGCCAGCAGATCTTTCTCTATAGAGATGCATATTTGGTGTGTGGGCACAATTTAAGAAATGTCTGCTTTTCTTCACCACAGCTGCCTTATTTTAATGCAAATGGGGCGAGATATGCATCGGTTGCAATCAGACTAACCCAGCGCTCCTCATCCTGAGTGACTTCAAACGGGTGGACTGCAACTCCCAGAAGTCCCCTTGAGGGAATGTTCCCTACAGGGAAGAAATTAAAAGACGCTTGCTCCTGGGGAGGAAAGCTATGGCAAATCTAGACAGCATACTAAAAAGCAGAGACGTCACCCTGCCAACAAAAGTGCATGCAGTCAAGGCCATGGTTTTCCCAGTTGCAATGTATGGCTGTGAAAGTTGGACCATAAGAAAAGCTGAGCGCCAAAGAATGGAGGCCTTTGAGCTCTGGTGCTGGAGAAGACTCCTGCGAGTCCCCTGGACTGCAAAGCGATCAAACCGGTCAGTCCTAGAAGAGATCAACCCCGACTGCTCTTTAGAAGGCCAGATCCTGAAGCTGAAACTCAAATACTTTGGCCACCTAAGGAGAAGGAAGGACTCACTAGAGAAGGGACTAATACTGGGAAAGATGGAGGGCAGTAGAAGAAAGGGACGATAGAGAATGAGGTGGCTGGATGGAGTCACTGAAGCAGTAGGCGTGAGCTTAAAGCAGTGGTTCTCAACCTTTTTAATGCCGCGACCCCCAACCGGTCGTAAGTCGAGGACTACTCAACCGGTCGTAAGTCGAGGACTGCTCAACTGGTGCAGCACCGTTTGCAGAATGGGACTTTTGGCGGGCTCAGCAGGCAGAGACAGCCTGGACAATTCCTATTGGCTTTTGAAAGCCAATAGAATTAGACTCTATTCAAGAGAGTCTATTCTATTGGCTTTCAAAAGCCAATAGAATACAAGGGAGTAGCAGAGCTAAGGAAAAGGGGGGAAAAATGGCGGACTGCGTTGTTTGGCGACCCCCGTGAAATGGTCGTTTGACCCCAGATGGGGTCCTGACCCACAGGTTGAGAACCATTGGCTTAAAGGGACTCCAGAAGATGGTAGAGAAGGCCTGGAGGAACGTTGTCCATGGGGTTGCGATGGGTCGGACACGGCTTCGCAACTAACAACAACAACAACAACAACAGGGAGGAACCAAATGGGAAACTGAGGCATGGCCTGGCTCGTGCTCATCCTCTGAGCCTGCTGTTGCCGGAGTCATGAGGAAAGGAACCTTACTGGTTTGAAGTTTGCTCTCTGCACCAGATCAGAAAGCGCTGTGTTTGATTTTGGCTTCGCCGGATGCCTTGCAAATCCTGCCGGGGTCCTTTGATGACTCCGAGCAACACATGAGGGAACCGGTTGTAGCCAAATCACCAAAAGTCCATTTCAAAGCATCCCGGTTGGGAGTAGAGGTGGGTGAGCCAGGCCGAAGACAACCGGGCGCACACCACAGTGGTGAAGTTTGCAACGGGTGCGGGGGAACAAGTGTTCGTGCCCGCCCCTCCAATTGTGTGGAAGCTTGCAGGATGATGCGTGCCAGGCCAGCCCACCTGACAGGGTTGTTGTGAGGAAGCAGGGGTCTCATTGCATGAATGCTAGTCACAAACATCCCGGATGAAGCAAAACAAGGCTTCGAGAAGGCTCCCTGTGTGTTGTACACACGTTTCTTGTGTGATCTTTGCAAAAGGGATCTTGGATCCTCACAGCGTGGGGATGCTGTGGAATCTAATAAAAGAGAATCTTTGTAGCTCAGGGCTGAAATGAGGGGTTCCGAATTTGGATCACTGGGGAGGCTGCAACCGCCATAAGTGTGAAAAAACAGTCCTAAGTCCCTTTTTTCAGGGATGTCATAACTTCAAATGGCCACTAAACGAACAGCTGTAAGTCAAGGACTGCCTGTAGAGTGCAATTCTGGCCGATGCCTCTTGTTAATGGCTGAAATTTCCATCCATACGAGGTGTCTGGGTTTTGTTTTTTGTGGCTTTTCTCCTGCTGGGCCCAGCCTGGAGCCTTCACGCCTCTCGGCTTCTCCCCCCCCCCAGACGTACAGGAAGTCCTCGTCTTACAACTTTTCATTTAGTGACCAGTCAAAGTTACCAAGACATTGAAAAAAATGGCGCCTTATATGACCGTGGCGGCATTCCCCCGTGGTTCACGTGATCCAAATTCGGACTCTGGGCCACCGACTCGTATTAACGACGGTCGCCATTTCCCCCGGGGTCACGAGATCCCCTTTTGTGGCCTTCAAAGACAGCAAAGTCAAGAGGGGATCCGCTTAACGACCGTCTTGCTAACTTCGCAACCGCAGTGAAGTTAGGCTCCTGTCTCGCTTAGCAACGGAAATGTGGGGCTGGGTTGGGGGTCGTAAGCCGAGGACTTACCCCCCCTGCGATTCTGCCAGTGAACAGCCAGAGTGAAACACTCGAAGAACGACGATCGGGAAAAAGGAAGGAAACGGGATGGACCGCCAAGTGGTTCAAGCACAACAGGATAGAACTGTGTAGAATAATCCCAAATTCATTCGTTCACAATTTTGGAGAAGAAATTAAGGCCAGGGCGACGCCAGTGGAGAATGAGGACTAGGAGCTTGAAACAGGCACCTACTTGTCAGAAAGGAGAAAGGCAAAAAGGACTCCAGCCCTGGGCACGGGTCCAATGTCTTGCAGCTATATCAATACTTGCTGGTGCCAAAAGTTGTGTAACTCCTGCCCAGGTAGGACCTGGAGGGAACGAACGTGGGTGCTAATGATGTCCACGATCATCTTGCTGGCCAAAGTTCCTTGCAGTTTCTTCTTATAAGCCTCGGATCTCGGCGAGGTCCTTCCTTTCTAGCAGAAAGTCCTCGGTGCTGCCTGCAGGCATGTGTCGGGCACGGCTGGTCGTGTGGCTGGCGGGGCTGGCATTCACTGCTGCGGTTATCCCAGGTAAATTGGGGACCTGGGCTGGCTTGGGGGTGGCCGGCGCAAGCAAAGAGGGTACCTTATGGGACTTTAGGGATAAAGATGGAGAATTCTAGTTAATTAAGGGGGCTGCATTGAAGAAAGCCACCTTCAGATTTATAGGGAAGGCTGATCCTGTTGGATGGCTGCCTGTTATAGCCTATCGAGCTGGAGACGGGCAAAGAGGCAGGTGACGCCTAAGTGAAGGGGCTGGAGGCTAAAACATACAATGTACGGTTGCAGGAATTGGGTATGTCTAGAGAAAAGAAGAACTGGGGGTGACACGATAGCACCCCAATATCTAAGGGGCTGTTACAAAGAAGAGGGGGGGGGAATCAACCTATTTTCCAAAGCACCTGAAGGCAGGACAAGAAGCAACCTGGAATTAAGGAGAAACTTCCTAACAGTGAAGACAATTAACCAGTGGAACAGCTTGCCACCAAAAGATGTGGGTGCTCCATCATTGGAGGCTTTAAAGAAGAAATTGGACAGCCCTTTGTCTGAAAGGGTATAAGGTCTCCTGCCTGAGCAGGGGGTTGGACTAGAAGACCTCCAAGGTCCCTTCCAACTCTGATATTCTGTTAAATTCTGCAAGGATGATGTGTTAAGCCCCCCCACACACTTTACTATTAGTTGATTGTTTAGTCCACACAGCTGTTTGTACATATTTCTTTCGTGGGTGTTTTTATTGCGGTTGTGTTTTGTTTTTTTAATTGTTTTAACTCTCTGATCCCTTTAAAATTCTAAGTCTGAGTCACTTGATTGACTGGGGGGGGGGCTATTAGAATGGAATAAGTAAAATAAATTTAAGAAAAATAGGACACAGGCTGTGCGCAGATACCTAATGTGTTTTTGTGTCTGTGTTGCTTTCACGGAACGGATATTTAATAGTAGTAGTAGTAAAGTTGGAAGGGACCTTGGAGGTCATCTAGTCCAACCCCCTGCTCAGGCAGGAAACCCTACACCATTTTGGACAAATGGCTGTCCAGTCTCTTCTTAAAAACTTCCAGTGTTGGAGCATTTACTGCTTCTGGAGGCAGGGTGTTCCACTGATTAATTGTTCTCACTGTCAGGAAGTTTCTCCTTAGTTCTAGGTTGCTTCTCTCCTTGATTAGTTTCCACCCGTTGCTTCTTGTCCTGCCTTCAGGTGCTTTGGAAAATAGCTTAATTCCCTCTTCTTTATGGCAGCCCCTGAGATATTGGAATACTGCTATCATGTGCCCCCTTGTCCTTCTCTTCGTTAAACTAGACATACCCAATTCTCGCAACCGTTCCTTATATGTTTTAGCCTCCAGTCCCCTAATCCTCTTTGTTGCTCTTCTCTGTACTCTTTCTAGAGTCTCAACATCTTTTTTACATCGTGGTGACCAAAACTGGATGCAGTATTCCAAGTGTGGCCTTACCAAGACCTTGTAAAGTGGTATTAATACTTCACGTGATCTTGATTCTATCCCTCTGTTAATGCAGCCTAGCACTGTGTTGGCCTTTTGGGCAGCTGCAGCACACTGCTGGCTCATATTTCAGTGATTGTCTACTAGGACTCCGAGGTCCCTCTCACAGTTACTACTATTGAGCATGGTGCCACCTATGCTGTACTTGTGCATTTGGTTTTTCTTGCCTAAATGTAGAACCTTGCTTTTTTCACCATTGAATTTCATTTTGTTAGTTAGTGCCCAGTGTTCAAGTCTGTCCAGATCCTTCTGTATCTTAAGCCTGTCTTCTGGAGTGAGGGCTGTAGAGACAGCCTTTGACTCAGCAACAGTTCATTTAGTGACCGTTTGAAGTGAAAAAAAGGGACTTTTGCCCGTTTTCCACACTAACGACCGTTGCAGCCTCCCCCTGCTCACGGCACATCCAGACACACGGCAACTGACTCGTACTTGTGACGGTGGCAATGTCCCTTCTGCGATCTTCTGACCAGCGGAGTCAATGGGGGAAGCCAGATTCACTTAATAACGGTGTCACTAACTTAACAACTGCAGCAATTCGCTTAACGGCAGTGGCAGGAAAGGTCGTAAAATGGGGCAAACTTCTTCACAAATGTCTCACTTAGCAACGTAACTTTTGGGCTCCGTTGTGGGTTGTAACTCAAGGGCTACCTGTCTTTTCCTGAGTGGATCTTTTCCTATTTCTTCTACCTCTTGATTGGATTGTTGGTTTTAGGCCATCTGACAATCGCTTCAATAGGAGCCAGCTGTGTGCTGCAGCTGCCAAAAAAACCAACACAGTGCTAGGCTGCATCAACAGAGGGATAGAATCAAGACCACGCGAAGTCTTAATACCACTTTACAAGGCCTTGGTAAGGCCACACTTGGAATACGGCATCCAGTTTTGGTCACCGCGATGTAAAAAAGACGTTGAGACTCTAGACCAGCGGTTCTCAACCTGTGGGTCGGGACCCCATTTGGGGTCGAACGACCATTTCACGGGGGTCGCCAAACAACGCAGTCCGCCATTTTTCCCCCCTTTTCCTAAACTGTGCTACTCCCTTTTATTCTATTGGCTTTTGAAAGCCAATAGAATAATAGACCAGTGGTTCTCAACCTTTGTAATGCCGCGACCCCATAATACAGTTCCCCATGTTGTGGTGACCCCCAACCACTTATACATCACTGGGTGCCAGGGGCGTGGCCAAAGAAAAGGAGGAAAAAATGGCGGACAGCCTTGTTTGGCAACCCCCGTGAAATGGTTGTTCGACCCCAAATGGGGTCCCGACCCACAGGTTGAGAACCACTGGAATAGACTCTCTTGAATAGAGTCTAATTCTATTGGCTTTCAAAAGCCAATAGGAATTGTCCAGGCTGTCTCTGCCCTGCAAATGGTGCTGCACCAGTTGAGTACTCCTCGACTTATGACCGGTTGGGGGTCGCGGCATTAAAAAGGTTGAGAACCACTGCTCTAGAAAGAGTGCAGAGAAGAGCAACAAAGATGATTAGGGGACTGGAGGCCAAAGCATATAAGGAATGTGTCAACGCTGCAAATGCTGTATATTCTTGCTTTGACAAAAATATGCAAAACTGTCTGGTATTTTTAGAGTTAATGCAGAGCAGAGTAGGGAAAAGGCCTGTGGGCGAATTGGAAGGTTTGATTTATGACTGCAAAATAAGGGAGGGGTTTAGAAAGAAAAGTTAGATGCAAGCAAGAGAAATTCAGATTCTGGCATAAACATCCATGATGTGCGGTCGATTTGTTACACTGTTAATAAAGACTTTAGGACAGTGATGGCGAACCTTTTAGAGACCGAGTGCCCAAACTGCAACCCAAAACCCACATATGCGTCGCCAGGTGCCGGGCGGGTGTGGCCCATTGGATGGGTGTGGCCCATTGGGTAGATGTGGCCCATTGGATGGGCATGGCTGCAGTGGTAACGGCAGACTGGGTGGGACTAAAAAGTTCAATCAATCAATTCCAACTTTGCAACATCTTTTTTTCCCCACGAGGTTGAAATTGACTGATTGATTGAAACTTTTTTTTTTTTGCACACAGCGGCAGAGGCCTAAAGCAAAAAGGTTTTATAAGACCCAGCTGAAGGCCTAGGACTGGGGCGACGGCGTGTGTGCCCACAGAGAGGGCTCTGAGTGCTGCCTCTGGCACCCATGCCATAGGTTCGCCACCACTGCTTTAGGATAAACATGCCTGGAAGTTCTTTGAAGTGTTTCATTAGTTGGAACCATGACAGAACGGTTGCTGGAACTGGGTATGTCTAGTTTAACGAAGAGAAGGACGAGGAGGGACAGGATAGCAGTCTTCCAGTATCTCAGGGGCTGCCCCAAAGAAGAGGGAGTCAAGCTCTTCTCCAAAGCCCCTGAAGGCAGGACAAGAAGCAACAGATGGAAACTGAGCAAGGAGAGAAGCAACGTAGAACTAAGGAGAAACTTCCTGACAGTGAGAACAATTAACCAGTGGAACTACCTGCCTCCAGAAGTGGTGAATGCTCCAACACTGGAAGTTTTTAAGAAGAGACTGGACAGCCATTTGTCTGAAATGGTGTAGGGTTTCCTGCCTGAGCAGGGGGTTGGACTAGATGACCTCCAAGGTCCCTTCCAATTTTACTATTATTATTTTATTATTATAAAAGTTTTGCCTTCTCCGAAGTTCCGCCAGAGATGATACCAACCAAGATGTTAAATTTCCCCAGTGAGTGATTGCTCAGCCCTGCTGCTCCTTTGCAAAAAATAATAATAAAATAAAAAAGTAAACTTTCCTGGGTTCAAATTTAGTTTCCGAGCCCCATTCTTGTAAAGCAGAGGTCCCCAAATCTTTTTGGGTTGGTGGCCCGGAGGGAAAGGGAGGGGCAGGCACCTTTACATGTGCATGCGCACATGCAAATGGGGCTGTGAGCGTGCTCACGCCAAGTGGGCCACTAGCGCCTGCACGATGCTAAGGGAGGCGTTAGCGGCCACGGTGTCAACGCTGCTAACATTGGATGTTCTTGCTTTGACAACAGATGGAAATGTAGCTATCTTTTCTCTTTCACTTTTAGAGTTAGAACAGTGGTTCTCAACCTGTGGGTTGGGACCCCATTTGGGATCGAACGACCATTTCACGGGGGTCGCCAAACAACGCAGTCCGACATTTTTTTCCCCTTTTCCTTAGCTGTGCTACTCCCTTGTATTCTATTGGCTTTCAAAAGCCAATAGGAATTGTCCAGGCTGTCTCTGCCCTGCTGAGCCTGCCAAAAGTCCCATTCTGCAAATGGTGCTGCACCAGTTGAGTAGTCCTCGACTTACGACCGGTTGAGTAATACTCGACTTACCACCGGTTGGGGGTCACGGCATTAAAAAGGTTGAGAACCACTGAGTTAGAATTAGATGATGCTGGGAGGGGGGGATGTGGGTGAGAGTCCAGTTAGTCATAACAATAATAACTCAACTGTGAGAATCAAGGTTATTGCGGGCGGGCTGGGGAGAAAGCCAGCAAGCTAATTGGGGAATTGATTTATGACTGTTAATTGGAGGAGGGAATTGTGCTTTGCTACTTTGTGG